AGACGGGGTTTCTCCATATTGGTCAGGCTGGTCTTGAACTCCCGACCTCAGGTGATCTGGCCGCCTTGGCTTCCCAAAGTGCTGGGATTACAGACATGAGCCACTGCACCTGGCCAAGAGCTTTTCTTTATGTGGCTTATAGCTATTAGTATTCACTATATTAAAATTGTTTTAACTAAGGAAAATTTAAAATGCTTATTAAATTTCTAAAAAGTTACAGTTATCTAGCCAAGCACAGTGGCTCACCTCTGTAATACCAGCACTTTGGCAGGCCAAGGCAGGCAGATCACCTGAGGACAGGAGTTGAGGACCAGCCTGGCCAACATGGTGAAACCCTGTCTCTGCTAAAAATACAAAAATTAGCCAAGCGTGGTGGCAGGCACTTGTAATCCCAGCTACTCGGGAGGCTGACACACGAGAATCATTTGAACCCAGGAGGCAGAGATTGCAGTGAGTCGAGATCACACCATTGCACTCCAGCCTGGGCGAAAAGAGTGAAACTCCATCTCAAAATAAAATAAAATAACAGTAATCCCATTCTTTTTTAACATAAATAACATAATTTCTGAAAAATACCAATATTTTCTGAAAAAGTAATGAAAAGGTAACTTTGCTTTACATATTCACAAATCTCTTCAATGTCTGGCATAGAAGACAGCTGAATTCTCCCAATTGCTTCTGCATTCAATCTGTTGCAATATATTGATTTGGCAGTATGTGAAGAAATCTGATCTCACACAGACATGTAGTTGGAAAAGGGGTGACTATGAATTTAAAATATTCTTTTTTTTTTTGAGACGGACTCTTGCTCTTGTCACTCAGGCTAGAGTGCAATGGCACAATCTCAGCTCACTGCAACCATCGCCTCCCAGGTTAAAGTGATTCCCCTGCCTCAGCCTCCCAAGTAGCTGGGATTACAGGTGCTCGTCACCATGCCCAGTTAATTTTTGTATTTTCAGTAGAGATGGGGTTTCGCCATATTGGCCAGGCTGGTCTCGAACTCCAGACCTTGTGATCCGACTGCCTCGGCCTCCCAAAGTGCTGGGATTACAGGCCTGGCCTAAAATATTCTTTTCTGGTATTACACTAAAACTTATCAATGGCAGTTTCTTAAAGATAATTTTCAATGTGAAATGTAGAAATTTATCAATGAACTTTTTGTACTGTTACATTAAAATCCATTGGTCTATCTTGCATTTTGAATCTTTTACCTGTGCATGATTTAACATTGTGCATTTCTAATCTGAAAAATACTTGTTCACCAAGTTAGGAAAATCTTCCAAACCTTGATACAATATGTGTATAAAAAAATCACATTCGTTAAAATTACCACCGACCTTAGCAGAAAAGTCTTTAAAAGCTGTCAAGATCATGGGGATATATAAAAGTTTTCCAAAATTGTAATTTTTACCGGAATGCTTCAATTTTGTCATTAGCAACAAATACTGTCAGTTGCTTTCCTAAAAGTAGTAGCTCATTTCATTTTTGAGAATATGTATGTCAAATAACCAAGTCCGAATAATCATAGTTTGTCATTTTTTCAAGAAAACATGGTGTTTCACAGAAAAGATGGCCGCCGGGAGTGGTGGCTCACGCCTGTAATCCCAGCACTTTGGGAGGCCGAGGCAGGCGGATCACAAGGTCAGGAGATCAAGACCAGCCTGGCTAACATGGTGAAACCCCATCTCTACTAAACATACAAAAAATTAGCCAGGCATGGTGATGGGTGTTTGTAGTCCCAGCTACGTGGGAGGCTGAGGCAGGAGAATGGCGTGAACCCAGGAGGCAGAGCTTGTAGTGAGCCGAGATTTTGCCACTGCACTCCAGCCTAGGCTACAGAGTGAGACTCCATCTCAAAAAAGAAAAAAAAAAAAAAAAAAGATGGCCAATTCAGCTCACAACTCAATTGCACAAGTGTTTTTCCTTGAGACAACTGTCGTGCTTCAGTATGCAGCAGAAATGCTTTGTGTGTACTTCCTATCTAATCACACAGAATATTAAATAGAAATGTATTCAAGACTTAATAAAATTCATACTTTTTGCTGCTTCATTAGGAAAATTCTAAGGTAAGCTGGCTTTCTTTTTAACTGCAAGTGCATGCTGGAGAATAATATAGTGACTATTAGTCCAGTTTGCCGCAACTGCCTTGATTTGTGCCCCACCCACTTCAACACAGTGAGGAAGGCAAATAACATCTTGGCATTATTACAAAAATAATTTTGACCTCATGGACCCCTTGAAAGAATCTTGAAGATCTCCAGGGTCTATAGACCACCCGTTGAGAACCGTTGTCCTAACTCAAAGGGTGGTTATAAAGATTAAACGTGATGCTGTACATAAAGCGCTTATCATAGTATCTGGCACGTAAGAATAGATGCACAATAACTGGCTACTTATTATGATGATTATGTAACAATTCTATAATGAAGAATCAAGCATTAGATGAGAGACTACAAGTCCTCTCAAACCTGAGATTCTATTATGATCAGATAACCATTAAAAGACTCATTAGGCCGGGCGCAGAGGCTCATGTCTGTAGTCCTAGCACCTTGGAAGTCTTGAGGCCGGGAGTTTGAGACCAGCCTGGACCACATGGTGAGACTACCAGCTCTACAAAAAAATTTAAAAATTAGCTGGACATCTTAGCACACACCTATAGTCCTCGCTACTCAGAAGGCTGAGGTGAGATGATCACTTGAGCCTAGGAAACTGAAGCTGCAGTGAGCTATGATCACACCACTGCACTCCACTCTAGGTGAGAGTAAGACTCCATCTCTCTTTAAAAAAAAAAATCAGAGACAGATTTCAAGTATCAATCATAATCTGACATCATCATTTTCTGCGGTTCAGCTCTATGGCAGCAGTAAATATTTTCTTTTACTATTTTACTGATGCCCAAAGTTATATTATAATTAATAAAAAATATTTTTAAATTATTAGATAATAAAAATATTTCCCTACAGTATTGACATTCTAATTATTTTCTTTCCAGTACTTGCTTTTCTATGTATATATGCATATCTTTTTTATATATCCATATATCTTTATATATATAAATGTTGAGAATCATAACCAGAATATAAATAAAAGTGCTGTAATCCTAGCACTTTGGGAGGCCGAGGCAGGTGGATCACGAGGTCAGGAGTTCAAGACCCGCCTGGCCAAGATAGTGAAACCCCATCTCTACTAAAAACACAAAAAATTAGCCAGGAGTGATGGTGGGCACCTGTAATCCCAGCTACTCGGAGGCTGAGGCAGAGAATTGCTTGAACCCGGGAGGTGGAGGTTGCAGTGAGCCAAGATCGCGCCACCGCACTCCAGCCTTGCCAACAGACTGAGATTCCGTCTCAAAAATAAAAATAAAAATGAAAAATAAAAACAATAAAAATGTATTCAAAGACAATGTAACATGCTTAAGTTATAATCATCAACAAGTTGAAAGTGGTGTATTTAGTGATTATAGACATTGGTACTGGAATAAGTCCAAACTTAAAAAGAAAACATGCAGTTCTCTTTGGAAATAGTGTGACCCTGAGAGAGATGGGTAACTCTTATAAGACTCCTGCTATGTGGGTTGTAGACTTTAAAGTCCTTAGTATGGTCCTCATGACTGAGGAACCTGAACCTACAGGGGCAATAACACACCTAGAATTGGGACACCTTAAGTTACAACTCTCTCATTTGAAGCATCCCAATCCATGCAATCCTATTTAGGAGAACAAAATGGCTCAAAGGCTGGAAAGAGTATTTTTTACTACCATGGCAAGCCTACCGACACCACTCTTTGGATTTCTCTTTGAGCAGTGTGATCCTTTGAAGCTTTGTAACCTAACTCATGCTAACATAACTCAGGGTACTAACTCAAGGCCAAGGTCAGACTTTCACATTAATATGCTAAGGCAGTTTATAGAACTAAGCTATAGCAAGTCACTCAAGTAACAATGAATGTATGGGTAGGAAGAAACACAAATTATTCTGGCACTTTAATATTAGCTAATATTTACTGAATTTTTTACCATGTGAAAGACATTGTGACATTGTATTCAGTATTTTACACACATTACCTTTCAATGGTGTGATCTCAGCTCACTGCAGCCTTGACCTCCCAGGCTATCCTTCCACCTCAGCTACTTGCCACAGGTGTGCACCATCATGCCTGGCTAATTTTTAAATTATTTGTAGAGATGAGGTCTTGCTATGTTGCCCAACTGGTCTCAAACACTTGGGTTCAAGTGATCCTCCTGCTTCGGCCTCCTGAAGTGCTAGGATTTCAGGTGTGAGCCATCATGCCAGCCCACAATACCTTTTCTAAACCTAGCAATCCCCCTATTTTCTCTGAGGTGATAATCTCCATCAGAAATATAAGAAACCTGAGGCTCAGAGAAGTTATAATTGAAAGACCTAAGCTCACAAGGTTGGAACCAAGGTCAAGATTTCAACCCAGCTCAGACTGACTGTAAACTCTTGCTCTTGATCACTTGATAACGCCCAACATTGCCAATCATTTTCATGTATAAAAGCAGTATAGTCGGTGAATAAAGACTTTTAAAAATACTTCCAAGAGTTTCATGGCCCTCTGAAATCTATCTGTGTATAAAGATCTCAAATTAAAAACCCCTGCTCTAAGGATCTCAAGGTACCTAATGCAGCATAATGAGCTTTAAATCTGATAAAAAATAAAAGATAAGGAAACAAAAATAATAATAGCTGCCATTTGCTGAGCACTGAGCCAGCCACTGTGCTAAGTGCTTTACATATATTACTTCATTTAGTTTTCATCCTACAATGCAATGACCATTAATCTGATGAGAAATCTGAAAGTTTAGATTAAGAGAGGTTAAGTAACCTGCCCAAAGTCAAACAGTGGAGGAAACTGAGTTCACACTGACTTTTTCTGTGGCACCATGCTCCCTCTTAGGCAAACACTGAACCAATACCATGTTAAGTGTTTAAACTCATTGCCAAAACAAACACCAAACAAACCCTGTAGACATACTCACCTGTATGACTTATGCAGTTCCATGACCTTCTCTTCAAGTTCCTTGGTCTGATTTGGAGCCAGTTTAAAATCACTGACATAATCCACGCCATGGAGTTCTGGGTCATAGTCTCCCAGTTCAGACTGGATGGTGTAAGAACCTAATAATGCTAAGGTTGCAAAGGAACAGGGCAGCCGTCCTGCAACTATGTCCTGCCGAAGCTGAAGACATAAATAATATCTACAGCAAAAGAGAAAAAATGTTATGTCAGCAACAACAACAACAAAATATAAAGAAAGAAAAAGGAGAAAAGAGGAGAAAGAGAAAGGGAGAGAGAGAAAAAATAAGGAGACAGAAGAAAAGAAAGCGATTAAGTAAATATGAGATAATATTAATAACTGTTCAATCTAGGTAGTGGGTATATGGTAGTTCATTGCACTATTATTTTTCTCTTTCTGTGTGTTTGAAATTTTTCCATATTAAAACTTAAAAAAAATACTGTAACTATATTGGACACATGTTTAGAAAGAGGAAAAGCTGGGGAAGTCTAAAGGAAGTAATGAAACTAATATATTTTTTTAAGTATACTAAGTACCACAGATACATAAATTATCTCACCTAATCTTCACACACACACACACACACACACACACACACACACACAACTTGTGAGGTGGGTATCATTGCCAGATTGTAGATGAGGAAGCAGCTCAGAAGCTTAGCGTGCTCAGTGTCAGGTAGTAATAAAGACTGGCTCCAAAACCAGGCCCTTTCTTTTCTGTCACATTGCTATGCCAAGTGTGCAGACATAGTCCTTCATATATAAAGATGACATTACTGACATATTTTCACTAGGATATAAACATTCTGGTGTATCTTCTCTCCAAGATAAGTTAAGTCGCATGCAGCCTTCTACATACTATTAGCCACCTTGTAAGACTAATTCCATCTGTGTGCTACACTGTTGGGAACACACAGTTTGCAGTTAAAACAGTTCTGTCCAACAAACCAACTGAGTGCCTTACCACGTTCAGACACTTTTCTCTCTGTCAGTGTAACGTTCGCCACCTATGGCCCTGACTTCCTTACCACGTGTTCTAATTGACTGAGTTGACCAATTCAGACTGTTTTACCAAACAGGAAAGTATTATTAAATTGACAATTCCTAAATTAATTAGAATCATATCTTTGCTTCTATTATAAGATAGTAAATAACATTTTGCTCTAATTAGTCACAACATACATGTTTTTTAAAATGTCAGAACAATGCCAAACAAGGCACAAAAATTTTAAACTCCTCTAAAATGTAAATAATTAGGAAAGATTTTTAGAAATGTGTTTTGTTTTATACATAAGCCTAGATGAAGAAAGACGATTAAGTAGCAACTCCAAAAGACAAATATTATTGTGAAAAAGAAATAACCAAAGGAATTTTTTAAGGCAGAGATCTGGCATCTCAATTTCAAGAATGTACTGAGGATGACTAGACAACAAATAATAAGAAAAAAATGGTATTGACTTTGTATAGAACTTAATAATCAGATTTTTAAAGAGGTTAGTCTATTCTCTTATTTGAGAGTATGGAAACTATCTAGGCCTAAAGACTAAATCTGCCTGGAATCAGACAGTTGGCAGCAAAATCAGAAATAGAAAGCAGTTACTCAACAACCAACAGTTTAATTTAACAGACATTTGCCAAGCATCTACTATGGATAAGACCCTACGCAAGAGGTCATTAATATAAATATGCACAGTAGTACTTTATAATATATTGATTTTCTATTTTCTTTTTTAGTTAATATTTTTATAGAATCCAATAAAAGCCATTTTCTTAAGACATCAGTAGGCTGTTTTTTTTGTTTGTTTTTTTTTTTTAGACGGAGTCTGGCTCTGTCACCCAGGCTGGAGTGCAGTGGCCGGATCTCAGCTCACTGCAAGCTCCGCCTCCCAGGTTTATGCCATTCTCCTGCCTCAGCCTCCCAAGTAGCTGGGACTACAGGCGCCTGCCACCTCGCCCGGCTAGTTTTTTGTCTTTTTAGTAGAGATGGGGTTTCACCGTGTTAGCCAGGATGGTCTCGATCTCCTGACCTCGTGATCCACTCGTCTCGGCCTCCCAAAGTGCTGGGATTACAGGCTTGAGCCACCACGCCCGGCCAGTAGGCTGTTTTTAAAGAGTACAAGATTTCATAAATTAGGTGGGCTCCAAGGAAGATTCAGTTCAGGGCATCAAGTACTTCATCAAACATTTTAAAAGGGAGATAGGAAGAAATAATAACACTTAGACTTTCAGTTTTTTTGATACCTATAAGAAGGGTGTGGTGGCTCAAGCCTGTAATACCAGCACTTTGGGAGGCCGAGGTGGGCGGATCACCTGAGGTTAGGAGTTTGAGACCAGCCTGGCCAACATGGTGAGAACCCGCCTCTACTAAAAATACAAAAAAAAAAAAAAAAAATTAGCAGGGCATGGTGGCGCATGTCTGTAATCCCAGCTACTTGGGAGGCTGAGGTAAAAGAATTGCTCGAACCCAGGAGGCTGAGGTTGCAGTGAGCCAGAATCACGCCATTGCACTTCAGACTGGGAGAGAAGAGTGAGACTCCATCTCAAAAAACAAAAAACAACAACAAAAAGAAGGAACATGGTGGGAAAGGAGTATGAAAAGAGACCCCAAAAAATAAACAAAAAAAAAAACAGTAGAGCCATTTTACCATGACATTTGTGTCTTGCCCTTTGGAGGGTGCTGGTAGGAGCCCTGCCCACAGCTCGGCATATCCATGATAAGCAAGGCCAGTTCCCCTGCCAATTTGCTGATATTTGTGATACAGGTCACAGATACTTAAGGCTTTTAGGTTCACTTATTTGCATGCCTGCCTTGAAGTGACCAGAAACTTTCAATCTTATGCTGCTTAATATCATTATTTTTCTTCCGTTCTGAATAGGGAATTAGCAGAGCTTATGGTGGTAAGAATTACTATCTCATCATATACATTACCATATGAAAAATTACATGTTTAACTATTACTTATTTACCTTGTTATGTCTTCTGTTAACTGTGCTGGGTCAGGTGGATAAAACTTTACGTTAAATGTAAAATTCCAAGGGACACCTATAAAAATAAACACAAAATAATTTTATGTTTATACCTAAGTTTCTAATTATTGGAAGTACTTTAAATTATTCAAACATTTCTCTTTTTCTTTTTCTTTTTTTTGAGACGGAGTTTCGCTCTTGTTGCCCAGGCTGGAGTGCAGTGCCGTAATCTTAGCTTACCACAACCTCCATCTCTCGGGTTCAAGAGATTCTTCTGTCTCAGCCTCCTGAGGAGCTGGGATTATAGGCATGCGCCACCATGCCCAGCTAATTTTGTATTTTTAGTAGAGACGGGGTTTCTCCATGTTGGTCAGGCCGGTCTCGAACTCCTGACCTCTGGCGATCTGCCTGCCTCGGCCTCCCAAAATGCTGGGATTACAGGCATGAGCCACTGCACCTGGCCCAACGAACTCTATACCATTCTTTCAACACTTTTGAAAGTCTGAAATTATGTCAAAAAATGTTTTAAAATTAGTAACTGAAAAAAACTGCCAGCTGGGCACGGTGGCTCATGCCTGTAATCCCAGCATTTTGAGAGGCTGAGGCGGGTGGATCATGAGGTCAAGAGATCAAGACCATCCTGGCCAACATGGTGAAACCCTGTCTCTACTAAAAAATACAAAAATTAGCTGGGCATGGTGGCGCATGACTGTATTCCCAGCTACTCAAGAGGCTGAGGCAAGAGAATCACTTGAACCTGGGAGGTGGAGTTTGCGGTGAGCCGAGATCATGCCACTGCACTCCAGCCTGGCATCAGAGCAAGGCTCTGTCTCAAAAAAAAAAAAAATTGCTGCCTTCTAAGGACACAGGAAACCAAGAACTCCTACATAATATTGGTGGGGATGTATAAACTGTCACAAACAATTTAAAAGAGAACAATTTGGCAATATCTTATTATAAAGATGAAAATAAACATAACCTATAATCTAGCAATTGTTTCTTCCAAGCACATTTCCTAAATCAGTATTTTTTACACTGTAGATCATGATCTGTTGTGAAATCAGTTTAGTGGGGAAAAAGGTCAGCATTCAAAACATGAAATGGAATGCAAAAGAAGAAATAAGGATGTCACTCATATCGTTCACAGTAAAAATTAAGAATTATTGGCTAGGTACAGTGGCTCACGCTTGTAATCCCAGCATTTCGGGAGGCTGAGGCAGATGGATCGCTTGAGCTCATAAGTTGGAGACCAGCCTGGGCAACACGGTGAAACCCAGTATCTACAAAAAAAAAATAAAAAAAGCTAGGCCTGGTGGCACGTGCCTGTATTCCCAACTACTCAAGAGGCTGAGGTGGGAGGATGGTTTGAGCCTGGGAGGTAGAGGTTGCAGTGAGCCATGATCAAGCCACGGCACTCCAGCTGGGGCAACAGAGCCAGGCTTTGTCTCAAAAAAAAAAAAAAAAAAAAAAAATTGCTTGTTAAATTTTCTTTTTCTTTTCTTTTTTTCTTTTTTTGAAATGGAGTCTTGCTCTTGTTGCCCAGGCTGGAGTGCAATGGTGTGATCTCGGCTCACTGCAACCTCCACCTCTCAGGTTCAAGCAGTTCTCCTCCCTCAGCCGCCCCAGTAGCTGGGATTACAGGCGCATGCCACCACACCTGGCTAATTTTGTATTTTTGGTAGAGACGGGGTTTCACCATATTGGTCAGGCTGGTCTCAAACTCCCGACCTCAGGTGATCTGCCCGCCTTGGCTTCCCAAAGTGCTGGGATTACAGGTGTGAGCCACTGCGCCCGGCAAATTTTCTTTTTCAACAGGGAGGAATTACAAAAATTACTCTGAGTAAGGAAAGGAAAATGCACATGATTACCTGTTACATAATTCAATTTATACAATGTTCAAAAAGATAAAACAAAACATATTTTTAGGTATACATTCATAGATAATAAAAAGCATTTCGAAAAATTCAAAGGAATCATTAACACAAAATTCTGGACAGTGGTGACCTCTGCAGGGAAAGAAGAGAAGGAAGGAAAAGACATGGGTTATATTTTAAGACATAATTTGTAGAAATTACGTATCAGTAATTACGTATCATATAAGTACGTATATATTACGTATATAATATATATATTATATATATATACGTATATATAACTTACAATATATATATAGAAGGTATACGGATTTCTTGCTTTTGCTCTGTACTATTCCAGACAGGAAGAGTGATCTTTCTTTTTTTTTTTTGAGATGGAGTCTTGCACTGTCTCTCGGGCTGGAGTGCAATGGCATCATCTTGGCTCACTGCAACCTCCGCCTCCCGGGTTCAAGTGATTCTCCTGCCTCAGCCTCCTGAGTAGCTAGGATTATAGGCATGTGCCACCACGCCCGGTTAATTTTTTGTATTTTTAGTAGAGACGGGGTTTCACTATGTTGGCCAGGCTGATCTCAAACTCCTGACCTCGTGATCCACCCTCCTTGGGCTCCCAAAGTGCTGGGATTACAGGCATGAGCCACCACGCCCATCCAGGAAGGGTGATCTTTCTTATCCAGAACCAAGAGAATAATCAAAGCTAAAAATTAAGCTAGGAGGAAGAAGAGATTGACAAACCTCAGAAAAAGGTCCAAACGGGTAAGGCTGGGTCTGAGGGAGATTAAAAAAAAAAAAATAGACAAAGCAATACTACACGTATGTAAGTATGGATATATGAAAAAATATATATATATAATGGATTGAAAGGTATCACCTCAAATTCATAACAATAGATTTCTATGGATAGGGAGAGAAGGAGATGGGACTGAGAGGAAAACAGACAAATCTTACCTGTACTTTCTATTTTTAATAAAAAATGTTAATTCTGCAATAGATAAATGTCATTCTTCTATTCTCTGTATTTTTTGAAATACGGAAAAAATTTTATTGTTGAGTATCTATAACAATTTTTTTTTCTTTTTTTTGAGACAGATTTGCTTGGTCGCCCAGGCTGGAGTGCAGTGGCGCGATCTTGGCAAGCTCCACGTCCCAGGTTCATGCCATTCTCCTGCCTCAGCCTCCCGAGTAGCTGGGATTACATGCGCCTGCCACCACACTCAGCTAATTTTTGCATTTTAAGTAGAGATGGGGTTTCACCATGTTGGCCAAGCTGCTCTTGAACTCCTGACCTCAGGTGATCCGCCTGCCTTGGCCCCCAAAGTGCTGGGATTATAGGCGTGAGCTACCGCAACCAGCCATATACTTGTGTTTTTAAAATGCAAAATTTATATGTGCCTAGAAAAAAATATTGCAGATTATATCAGTTTAACAGTGATTGTATCCAGAGGACAGGATTTAGAGGACTCTTACATTCTTCATGATAATTTCCTATAATGTTTAAATTTCTTACAATGGGTATATATTACCTGTGTGATTAAAAAAAAAAAAAAAACTTAAGGGCTGGGCATGGTGGCTCATGCCTGTAATCCCAACACTTTGGGAGACCAAGGGGGGTGGATCACCTGAGGTCAGGGGTTCCAAACCATCCTGGCCAACATGGCGAAACCCTGTCTCTACTAAAAACAATACAAAATTAGCCGGGCATGGTGGCACATGCCTGTAATCCCAGCTACTTGGGAGGCTGAGGCAGGAGAATCGTTTGAACCCGGGAGGTGGAGGTTGCAGTGAGCCGAAATCACACCACTGTACTCCAGCCTGGGCAACAAGAGCAAAACTCCATCTCAAAACAAACAAACAAAAAACAGAAACAAAACAAACAAAAAAAAACTTAAACCCCCACCTTTGCAATAAATGTTATTCTTCCCTTTGTCTTAAAAAAATGTTTACAATTTGATTCTCTATTAAAGTTTTTGTAAGGGACATGGTGTTTTTTTGTTATTGTTTTTTGGGTTTTTTCCCCCATGTTGAAGGAAGTGTTTTTATTATTCTGTAATTTTTTTTTTTTTGAGATGGAGTCTCCATGCTGGAGTGCAGTGGCACGATCTCGGTTCACTGCAGCCTCCGACTCCCTGGTTCAAGCAACTCTCCTGCCTCAGCCTCCCATGTGCCACCATATCCAGCTAATTTTTGTATTTTTAGTAGAGACAGGGTTTCACCATGTTGGCCAGGATGGTGTAATTTTTTTTAACTGAAAAATATTAAGGTTCCTTTTTTTAGCAAGATTTTTTTTTTTTAAATACCCAGGAAGATAATCCACTAGATATTCTTTTTTACTCATCATAAACTCTGTTAACTTTTTCTCCTAAAGAATCTTCTTGTATAATCATATGTTCCTAATATTTCATATTAAAAGTATTTTCATTGATAGGAGCAAGGAGTTACATTTTTCTTGTGGTGTCTTAAATATTCTGAATATTTGTTTGCTCTGACTTGCATTTTAAAACAAGCTTTTTATAGGTGGAAAGCAAATATAGAGTTATCAGTCCAAAAGAGTATTTTGTTTCTTCACTTAAGAAAACTAAACAATTACAAACAAGGTCTAAAGAAAAACATTTCACCATAACAAAAGTGTTTTCTTCTAAGAAACAAATGAAAAGCAAAGTTTGTTTTCAGGTGATTGTTAAAACTTACTAATCATGATAAATAACAACTATTGCACTTCCTGGAAGTTTCTTCAAAACTAAACTAAAAGGACAGGCAGTTTTAATTAGCCATTGGGCCTGGGACTGCAAAATACTAATCTATACTTTTTTCAATCCAGAAATATTTATCCCAGGACACCAGGCGCATCAGGGTGTAAAGCGGGACTATACATTAGAGTTAGAGGTAGGAGCAAAGCCAATATGTCAGAAGGGTCAGTGGCAAGCAATTCTTGTCCTTCCATTCTTTTTTTCTTCCACAGTCCTTTATACTACAGTTTAGAAGAGGACTGTTAAAAGGGATGAAAACAACCATAAAGAGGAAAACATAAAATTTATTTTATTTATTTATTAATTTTTTTTTTGAGGCAGAGTCTTGCTCTGTTGCCCAGGCTGGAGTGCAGTGGCCAGATCTCGGCTCACTGCAAGCTCCGCCTCCCGGATTTACGCCATTCTCCTGCCTCAGCCTCCCGAGTAGCTGGGACTACAGGCGCCCGCCACCTCGCCCGGCTAGTTTTTTGTATTTTTTAGTAGAGACGGGGTTTCACTGTGTTAGCCAGGATGGTCTCGATCTCCTGACCTCGTGATCCGCCCGTCTCGGCCTCCCAAAGTGCTGGGATTACAGGCTTGAGCCACCGTGCCTGGCCGGAAAACATAAAATTTATAATGCAATAGTTCAGAACAATTTAAAAGGAATAGGACACAGCAGCAAACTCCTAGAAGGCAACTGCAGTTTCAGTCACTACCATTTTGAGAACTGACTCCCATATCCTTTTTCTTTTCTCATCTTTGTTCTTTTCCACCTTCTGTTACTCTCAGCTCTTCCTATCTTCCCCAACTTTGCCCAGTTGTAAAAAAAAATCAACAAAATCTGACCTACATCTCAACAGTATCCACCTCTGCTATATTTTTCTATTATGGAATCTCCTCCTTCCAGGAGAAGGCTTTATCTCAATTTCAAAGCAATCTGCAGTAGTCAGGATTCTAAAGTGACTGACTCACAGCCAGAAATGGTTGGAAATCCTCTGACCTACTAAAAGAAAGAAAGAACTATAAAAAGAGCTATATCCACTTACCACGAACCTGCTTTTTTATTTCTTTGGCGGAATCCAGCCACGTCTGTAAAAAGAAGAAAAGGCATTCACACAGAGCTCCAAAACACATAAACAACAGGGTACTGGAAGCTGGATCACTGACTATCTTCAAATAGTGCCTCTAGATCAACCTGCATTTCCTTTGATAGTCTTTGCATTAATTTCACAAAGCATAGTGATTTTGAGCAGACAAAAAGGGACCCCGACATTTGGACTGAATATTAGCTCCACTACTTCCTGGCTGAGTGACTTTAGGAAATCTGTACCTCAGTTTCCTCATCTATAAAATGAGATATTGGTAGTACTGCCTACTTCATAGTGTTACTGTGAAGACACAATGAGTTAATACATGTAAATACATTAGTAAACAGCAAAAGCTAAGTAAGCTTTGGTTATTTATATTATTCTATAAAGACTAGTAGATAGCTACAACCAGAATTAATTGACAGCATCCACATTTTATTTTCTTCTCCAACCCTGACCTTTGGTCACCTTCAAGTTTTTTCTTTTCTTTTTTTGAGAAGGAGTCGTGCTCTGTCGCCCTAGCTAGAGTGCACTGGCACAATCTCAGCTCACTGCAACCTCCGCCTCGCGGATTCAAGCAATTCTCCTGACTCAGCCTCCCACGTAGCTGGGATTACAGGCCCTCGCCACCACACCTGGCTAATTTTTGTATTTTTAGTAGAGATGGGGTTTTGCCAAACATGTTGGCCAGGCTGGTCTCAAACTCTTTTTTTTTTCTTTTTTTTTTGAGTCAGAGTTTCACTCTTGTCACCCAGGCTGGAGTGCAATGGTACAATCTCGATCTCAGCCCACTGCAACCTCCGCCTCCCTGGTTCAAGTGATTCTCCTGCCTCCACCTCCCGAGTAGCTGGGATTACAGGTATGTGCCACCATGCCCAGATAATTTTTGTATTTTAAGTAGAGATGGGGTTTCACCATGTTGGTCAGGTTGGTCTCCAACTCCTGACCTCAGGTGATCCGGCCGGCTCGGCCTCCCAAAGTGCTGGGATTATAGGCATGAGCCACTGTGCCTGGCCAAAGTTTTCTGTATCAGCACAGTATTCAGTACATGGCTTGTGCCCAGTTTACTGAATGAATAAATATTTTGTTTTCCTGAACTACTCTTGCCCACGCCAATGTTGTCCTTCACTGTTCTCCCACTCCACTTAGAATCAGCACACCACTAGGCTAGGGCTCCTCAACCCATAGTGGACCATGCAAAATAAGGGCACTGGAAAAGAACCTCACCATTAACATTGTTCATAGATCCCTTTGAGAAATGTTTAAAGACAGAAATTTCTAAATTTCTAGAAATGTTTAAAACATTTTAGTGGAATATAAGATACATATCAAAAAGTACATAAAACATAAGTATAAAGATCAATAAAATATCAATGTGAACATACAAGAATTATAAATTACTAGCACCTCAGGAGCCCCTTTCTTGCCTCTTCCTAATCCCTCCCCTTCCCTTGTCCAAAGATTTAAAATTGAATTTTAGTGGCATTTTATTTATTTATTTAGATAGGATCTCGCTCTGTGGCCCAGGCTGGAGTTTAGTGATGCAATCTTGGTTCTCTGCAACCTCCACCTCCTGGGTTCAAGCAATTCTCCTGCCTCAGCCTCCCGAGTAGCTGGGATTACAGGCGACCACCACCATGGCTGGCTTATTTTTTTGTATGTTTAGTAGAGATGGGGTTTCACCATGTTGGCCAGGCTGGTCTCAAACTCCTGATCTCAAGTGATCTGCCCACCTCGGCCTCCCAAAGTGCTGAGATTACAGGTGTCAGCCCCCGCACCCAGAGATAGTGGTATTTAGAAAAAAGGAGTAAGGTGTCCCCCTCCTCACCCTCTACCAACAAGGGCAGAGCATATGGTGACCATACCATTTGCCCTATTGAAGGAATGGGCTTGAACACCACATCTCTTAAATTGATTATATACTACTTTGACTATTATATAATCATTACAACAGACAATAAACGTAAGAGGACTAGTTTTCTTTTACACTCCCACCACAATTAAACCAGAAAATTAATATACATAAATAAATGCTACATAGTATTAAATTGTTCTAAGGTATAAAAATAAGCACATACTTGTTTAAGCCCTGTCAGAAAGGGGTGACCTGGGTGTTTTCTCCTTAGTCTTTCATTTAGACTAAAGAAAGTTTTAAAAAAGTTGCTGTATTTTCAAAGGCAAAGGAAGACTTTAAAAGCATCAACTGAGTTTCATGAAACCTCTGAGAACCTTGGTTTACACCACGCAATCCAGAACTACTACCACTTTTTACCACTTTGGAGTAGATAGTTCTACCATAGAGGACTCCATGTTTTCCATTATTTTAAGAGAATCTCCCTAGGTAAGCTGAAGCTGCCAAGTTCCTTCCAGGGATTCTATGAGCCATTCTGAGTCTGTGCTAGAATTTCTACTAACTAGACATAGGGAAGGCAAATCCAGTTTTGTGTCAGTCATATAAAGACTGCAGGGTATAAGCTACTATGTACAATAAATTGTTATTGCTTCAATTATCTACACCTCCAAATCAAAATAAAAAACAAAATCTTCTGGAGATAATAAAAATCAATGTGTACAAGAACAGGTACTTTTATGCTCAATTTACATTGTTGAATTCCTAGCATTTTAGTTAGCCAACAAATATTTGAGGAATGCTTCCATGTGCTAGGCACTGTGGTTACAAAAAAAAAAAGAAACAAAGAAAGATTAAAAACTAGCACTGGTCCTCAGGGAGCTGTCATTCTAATCAGGAGGCAAAAAGAGAACAATCAGTTTGTTCGAGGTGTGATAATTACAATGATAAAAATATGTGCTAGTGCTATGATAGAGCACAAGGTATTCTGAGAGCACAGAGGACATGCACCAAAATGGTTTAAAAGTCAGTTAGGAAATGTTTCTTAATAGAATGTCTGGGGGATCTAAATGGAGCCTTGAAGGACAAATGAGTTAGCCAGGCAAAGAAGAAAAGGAAGTAATTAGAAAGGCACAAAAGTATAAAAGTGACTGCAATACACCTGAGTTGTTGCATGTGGTTCAGCATAGCTGGAGCATAGAGGCAAAGAGGAGAGAGGTAAAACTGAAAAGAACAGTAAGGACCAGACATGGAGGGAGATTATTCCATGCTAAGAACTTAGACTTTATCAAGTTCTTAGCAAGCAGGAGTCATAGAAGGATTTAAAATAAAGGAGTGACATCAATTAGAGAAAGCATGATTGTAGCCAGGGGGACCAAAAAAGACACTGTTGTTCGGAGTGATAACTGTGGTCCAGCAGAGGATAATGGTTAAGGGCACAGGCTTTGAAGTCACACAGTCTTGAATTCCAATCCTGCCTCATCCTCTCTACCATTTAGCAGCTGTGTAACCTTATATAAGACAGTGTTTCTGAGCCTCAATTTTTTCATATGTCTAATTGGGATAAAACTATCATCCTCACAGAGTTATTGTGGGTTGAATTATTTGATGTATACTAAAAGTGCATAGCCAGTATTCAATAAATGGTACTGATATTGATAATCAAAAGGGTCTGATGGGATAAAGTCTATGGGACAGAAGAAAAAAAATTAGGAGTTAAAGCTATTAGGATTTGTGACTAAGTAAATGGGATGTAGGGGAAGGGTGGGCTCATGATGAGGGTTGGTAAGGTAAGTGGTAAAGAATAATTCTCAAGTTGCTGGCTTGGGCAACTGGGTGGATGTGGCACTATTCACTAAAACAGGAAATAAAGGAAAATGAACAAATGTTATAAAGGAGAAAAAATAGCAACAACAAGAAACAACCTACATGTACATCAAACAGTTGAATGAATAAATTGTAGAATAATTTAAATAGGTATATGTTTAAAGTATCTTTGGAAATCCAAGTGGAATATTTCAATAGAAAGCTGTATAAGCAGGTCTGGCACTCAGAAAAGAAATTTGGGCCAGATATACATTTGGACACCTTCCTCATGTAGGTGGTAGATGAACCCATTAAAGAAGATTTAAAAATCACCCAAGGAGTATGTATTAGAGTGAAAATAAAGGGGAACCCTTGGGGAACCCTTGCATTTAAGTGATAGAGAGAGAACAAAGAGCTGAGAAGTAAATTGAGGAGACTATAGTGGTAGGAGAAAGACAGGAAAGGCTGGTATCACAGTATCTAAAGGAATAGGAAGTTTCAAGGAGGGAGTAATTAAGATTATCAATACTGCAAAACTGACAAGTAACATGAGGATAAAAAATGTCAGATTTATCTTGGTAAGAGCAGTTTCAGCAGAGCAATAAGGGCAGAAATCAAAATACAATGAGTTATATCCAGTGCAGATGAGAACATGGCACAGCTGAAACTTCCGCTCATTACTCATGAGAGTGTAAACTGGTAACACCACTACAGAAAACTGTTTGATAGTATCACTAAAGCTGAACATATGCCTTCTCTAAAATCCGTCAGTCTCATACCTAGGAACATATCCAATAGAAACGGATATGGTGAGATGTATACCAAAAGGCACCTGTAAGAATGTTCCTAGCAGAAGTATTCATAAAAGCCCCAAACTGTAAACAAGCCAAATGTCTATCAGTAGTAGAGTACATAAAGTGTGGTGTGGTCAAACAATGAAATATTATATTACACAGTAACGAGGCCAGGAGGCTGAAGCAGGAGGATCGCTTGAGCCAGGGAGGTGGAGGTTGCAGTGAGTCAAGATTGTACCACTGCACTCCAGCCTGGACAATAGAGTGAGATCCTGTCTCAAAAAAAAAAAAAAATTATACAGTAATGAGAATGAACTATTGCTATTTAAAACAGCATGAATGAATCTCAAAAACATCATAATGAATGAAACCAAAAAAACCTGACCTAAGAGAAGACACTGTATGATTTTATTTATGCAAAGTATAAAAACAGGCAAAAGTGATTGATGGTGCTAGACATCAGGATGAAGTAACTTTTTTTTTTTTTTTTTTTTTTTAATTTTTTGATAGGGTCTCACTCTGTTACCCAGGCTGGAATGCAGTCGCACAATC